GGGTGGGGGTGGAACTGCATCATTACCATGCCAGTGGGAAGTTAATTACAGCAAATGATACAAGTAAATATGGCACTTATTGGCCCAGGTTGGAAGGAGACATCTGGCCTTCGTCGGCGCTCAAGTCCCTGTGTTCGCGCCACCTCCACCAGAAGAACATGGCTACAATCATTGCAATAATCAATGTCTCGAATCCCATCCACACTTGTAAAAGTGTGTCTTCCAAAATTCCACCAGGGCGCTGTTCTCGCTTTGTTTACACTGTGATAAACCCGATGAGTACTCGTAAAATAAACTAAGCTGGGCGGGGACTGGGACTTGTGGGAAAGGGGGGGGGGGATTTACTACTGCGTTTGGAGACTTAAAGGTTCAAGTCCCCGGAAGAATTAAGAGATAAAAGTTTTTATTTGACAAGGCTAATGGCTTCTCGGGGTGAGCCATGCCTGAGAGATGATAGAGAACAATCAAACAAAAAAAAAAAGAAAAACAAGGACACTTTTACAGCTCTCGGGCGCCCCCCAAATTTGTTGACAGATACAGGAAGAGCCACCAACTTGGGACCAAAAGACCTTGAAGAGATGAAAATGTCTCAATCTAAAGAGAGCTTTTTCCCCCTCACCGTTTTGACCGAAAAAGAGATTCAACCATTGAAATTAAATTGTGGTTCGGGAGCATAAATATGCAACACAATGGTAGCATAAATACGCAACGCGAATCGCTGTCGTCTGAACGCGGTCAGCAGTGATAATGGAGAACACGGTTGACTAAAACCTTCCACACGAGACTAAGAGAAATGGGCTTTCCGTGCTACATTACATTGTGTTACGTTATGTTACGTTGTGTCGCATTGAGTTTTGACCCTTGTTGTGATCCGTTGTTGCTGTTTGTTAATGTAGCTTGTTTTGAAGTGTTTTTCCACCATTTTGTATCGTGGAGTGCAGTGGAAAATTACTGGTATACTATGCAGTGAAATTTTAAGTTCTCCTTCATCTGGCTTGTGGCACAATAATATGTTGAAGTCATGGTTACCTTAGTGGGTCCTGGATCCGGGCCAGGACTAGTCGTGTTCCATTAGCACTATTTGGGACACACATTCACTTAGTGGCAGGAGGTACATGCGGTTTACACAGTGTGAGATCTAAACGGTGATTTTTAATAAGATGTGTACTTAGTTGCTGTTCTAATTAGCATTATGCACAAGCCCGGCTAATGTTCATTTGAGTTGACATTGCTTATATAATTTAGGATAACAGGTTTTAATAAAACCCCCTCTTCATGCTTCATTTCCACTGATCACCAGCTGCCGGGTCAATTGAATAATTAAGGATTTAATTAAGCTTCAGCGTGGATCACAGTCTTCCGGCGCAGTCCAGCCTGGTACGCCGGAATACCAGAGCCCAAATCAAATAGGCGCCGGGCCAGAATTTTAAGACGGGCAGTAGCGCAACCAGTGAATCTCGGAATCCTCCCGTTCCACCTCACACATTCGGGGCTGTCATTTTTGCACTTTGGATTCCAAAGCAATCCTCTGAGGTATGCGGCATTTCAGGACGTCTCATCCTTTTCGGTGTGTGCCGCTCATCATTGCGAGCGTGTAATACAATACCTCCCATCGACTTATTGGAGAGCAGCTCCTGCCTGCGCTGAGTCGGCCGTGTAGCGCCGGCTAATTTCACTCAATGGTGCATGAGTAAATGTTAGATGAAGCCAGTGAACCCTGCAGTATGAGAATATTATCAGCCTCACTGTGGGCCTCCATCTGTTAATGTACTTTTGGACACTCTATTGAGATGCTAAATAATTTAATTGGCACTATCATTCAGCAAAGGTTCTTGGCACCAAGCTATTTTACTGGGAGGGCCGACGGAATTGGCGAGCATTTGCGGTGACATTTAAATAAGAGGCCTTAAAGCAACCCTATACAATGTAAAAAAAAAATACATCCATATAATGCAACACATTTGTTTTCATGCCCATATTGAGAACCGAACGCAAAGTACTCAACTCAAAGATTCGTGACTTTTCCTATGTACTTAAAAAAGAAAATTTCTTTAAAATATTTTTCACAAATTAATGTTAGTGCACTTCCCGTTTTCCAAAAACACATCTAACTCACACGTGTGGCATGATTATTGCACAGGTGTGCCTCGGGCTGCCAACAAACAAAAAAAAGGTTATTCTAAAATGTGCAGTTTTCATCGAAACACCCATTTTTAATATGCTTATATTTATATTTTATCATTTATATTTATTTAGATACTTTTTGTTCTTCTACTTTTCCCTTTCATAATTTTGCTGCTGTAAATTGGGAATGTCTCCATTGTGAGACAAATAAAGGTTTTCTTATCTGATGTGCCTGAGGCAAATGGTGGTCACACCAAAACTGACTGGTTTTCCGATCCTCAACCCCAGACCCTCTCAGTAGAGTAAAACCTGCACATTTTACAGTGGCTTTTATTGTGGCCAGCCTACATCACACCCGCTCATTAATCATTCTGTGTAATCAGTATTTTTATATGCTACCCCCTTGAGATAGATGGATTATCTCAGCAAAGGAGACGTGTTGCGTTACATGTGTTACGCTTATGAGTTAAGTTGATGTACACGTGTTACGTTACATTTGTTTTGTTTTATGGGTCCGGTTATGGTGCTTTATGTGGCAGTGTTTTACCTCAAAGTGTCACATTGCAGTGTGCAATGTTGAATTGCGATGGTGTAGGGTTAAGGTGTTCTGTTACAGTGTTTTGCGTTCATGTGTTACATTGCACTGTGAAATGTTGAATTGTTACATTACGCTGATATGTTGTTTTCTGTTATACAGTATTCTGTTGTGTGACACTGCTTTGTTGCATTGTGTTGTTATATTTCGTTACCGTATGCTGTATTATGCTATGTGTTAAGTGTTGCATGACGATACCTTGTGTTCTGATACATTGTGTTCTTGTATGCTGTGTTACGATGCGTTGTATTACGATAAGTTGTGATACGATATGTTGTTACCATATGCTATGTAATCACATATCGCGTTGCGATACATCGCATTACGAGACATTATATACTTTGCACACACTGTATATCTCGGCACAGACACTTTGCAGAAGTTATTGGACATTCTATGAGTGATGTTACAAGTTTTACTGCTCTATCAAGTCTGAATAAACACCATAAACACATGTGGCACCAAGTCGGAAAGAGCAGCATTGAATCAAACGTAATCATATTCCTCTGCAACTTAATGTCAGTGAGTGCTTCTCAGCATGACCATTCTTTTCACACACACACACACACTCACACACACACACACACACACACACACACACACACACACACACATGCACAGACACTTTGCCTATCTGATTTACTGTTTTGTACACGTAGTGCTGACACTGAAAATCACGCCACGCATCACAGCACCTGATGAATAGACGTGATGTGAACTTATACGCGGGTTGTAATCCTGTGATATATGCAGGTTACAAAAGCTGCTTGAAGCCCGATTATGCATATAGCTGCATTCCTGGAGTCTTGCCCGTCTGCCATATATATATACACACACACACACACACACACACACACACACACACACACACACACACACACACCCCAAAACATATTTAGATGCGTATAGATGATAGCGTTCCACACTCAGTCCCATAGTAATGACAGAATTTCGAATATATGTAAATTGTTCTGGAAGTGAATTTTCTATAGGTTGGCAGCGCTATTGATTGGCTTTGCTCATTCAGGACCTGTTGTCCACTCAGTCTATATCCTGTCAAAATTTTGATATGAGCAAAGTTGTGTTCATTTGTTTCCCTCAATATGAGCACTATGCAAAGCACTGGTAATAGAGGGGAAACTATTTTGTGTGAAGCGTTTTTTTTTTGTTATTTTTTTGTTATTGTTGTGTTGTGCCAAGTTAGACATGTATTTTTTTTTAATATAATTGATACCCACGTATTGTTTTACAAATGTATCTTCAATTCAAATAAGGTCGAGGATGTGAGTACTATTGCCACATCTGATCATTGTGACATATGATGTGTCAGTGCAACTTATCACTTATCACAATGTAACACAATGCAGCTGAACAAATGCATAACACAACCATACATAACGTAACACAGAGACATAAAGCAAAACAACGTCGAGCAAAGTAATGTTATGCAAATCAATATAATGCATCAAAATGTAACCATGCAACATTATACAAATCAAATTATTGCAATGTGCCAGTGTATTAAAAATGTACTGAAACACAATGTACCACTATTTTCATTTCACTGATTCTCATTTGCTGAATTTATATTTAGATGCTATCCCCCCATATAATGGTAACTGTATTTGTGACTTTACCAGCATAGGTTAGTGATAGAAACGCACAGATTTTTTTTCCGTTGGCAACGTAGGAACTGAACTCTGTCGAATGCCGACTTCCCAAATTGGGGTCTTTTGTTAACACAGTACAATAAAACTATATGGCTGGCTGTATGGAGAACATGTCTCACAATACACCATTTTGGATGCATTGCACAACCCTTTTGTGGTCCTATCACGATTACAGTTAGGCCACACTGCAGGGGATCAATCACAGTGGACTTTGACCTATGGCGAGCGGTGTCATCCGTTGCAATGAGATCAGGCCTGAAGAGTTGGCTTCATGGCAAGTTTAAGTGTGTGTGAGGAGTCCTAATGAATTCAGCTTCCGGCCGTGCCTCGGCTGATAGACCCGATACATATACATATATATATATATATATATATATATATAAAAAACAAATGAGGGTAGTTTTCTGTTCTCCTTACCTCTGTGGTTGGTTTGCACACTGGAAGTAACAACGAAACACCGTAGGTCGGGGCCATTGTAAACTGTGGACCTCCTGGAAATGCTCAAGCAAAAACACTCATGTTAAGTGCCTGAAATCGCGAGTGATTTGTATCAATGTCACGCCTTTGTCTTCCAAACTCTGCTTGTTTGCAGAATATATAAATAAAAATACATATGGGGGTGAGGATGTGTGCGCGCCCAGTGGAGCTAAACTGAAATTTAACACACACACACACACACACACACACACACACACACACACACACACGCACACACACACACACACACACACACACACACACACACACAGTTTTGCTGGCAGAGGTCACATAGAGGTTGGGGGTCCTGAAAAGTTCTCCGAGCCAATGAATGATACATGAGAGCTGCAGACGGTGCGTGACTCTGGCGCTAGTTTGGTTTTTGTTGTCAAGTAGCACCTTTTCCAATGGATGCTTCACCAGTTTGAGCATTTTTCAACCGTAAACGAGAAAGGGTAAGGGGGAAATATCATTGTATCTATGGGAAAGGACATGGTCGACTTGACATTAGCATGTTGTAGAAGCCGATGGGAGGCCCTGAGATGTTGAGAACCCATGACACCAGCCTCCTAAAGAACACCCCTTAACAAAAATAACCTGACTTAAGTTGATTTTATGATCCAATGTTCGATGTGGCTATTTTTCCCATAGGAAATTACTGACATTTATTTTGAAGACAAAATGTTCACTATCCACACCGTAAAAGCAACTTCTAATGTTATGGAATTATAAATGTTAACCCCTGTTCATTTTAAGACATTAAGGTTGTAGTTTAGCCTCACACATCTAGTTTTTAAACATTATTATTTCCAAATGTATTGTGTAAAAATATGCAATAGATAAAAAAAAAAAAAAAAAACTTGAAATATTCGTCTTATCAGTAATGACAAAGGTCAACTGCGAACGGTTGCCTGATACACCTCACCGATCTGTTTCTTCTTCGTAATAAATACTGTGTAAGATAATGATTCCAACATTGAAGCATCTGTGTCGATCTCATCAACTGCTCTTTAATCTTCAGGTCATCAAAAATAACACATACTGCATAGAGATTTTAAAAAATTGCTTTGGGAACATCACGCATTGCTTGGATATGAGACAAATCCTCTGAACACTTTTAAATGCTGAGATTAATGTCACGCAGACGGCGCGATCACGAAGCTCTTAAAATCACACAGCATATCATGCAAACGGAACAGCCGCGTATACTGAAGTGTTACTGGGAGTGAGGCGTCACATTGTGAGAAACCTGACCTAAAAAGCTCAAAAGCTTTTAGAGAAACTAAACTGATTAAAAAGAAAATGTATTGAACCATGATGAAATAAACAGGGATATTAAGCATGTGAGCTAAAAAACAGTCGGGGTCCAGCCTCTTATGTACGAACAAGGCATCATGTTGTAAAATGGCTGGCAGCCAACCCGAGTAAAGAGTGACGAAATGTGGCAACAGAAGATTAATTCCGCGCTTGTTCCTCAAGGTCCCCAGAAACCTTCCAATCATCATGAAGTCACGTTTTAGGATTAAGCCACGTACAATTCAGACCTCACATAATTCACACCTGCAGTATCTTAATGCATGATTTGTACTGGTTGTTGTTTTGTTTTTTTTTTGGTGTGCACAGCTGACACTTTAGTAGGGAATGTGTAAAACTGATAAGAACCTCCTTTGCACTCTGAAAACTACACCTAAAAAGTGACTAGCAAATTGATTTGTGTGCTATTCAGTGTAGGCACAAGCTAGGAAGGCATGGAAAGAATTGCTGACACCCTTTGCGTGAACAAGTCACTGAAATAACTTGAAACCGGCAAATGTAATATTTTGTCGCACCGCCTTTTAAGCACAGTCGTTGTAACCGCGAGTTCATAGAAAACTAGTGACTGACTAGCCTGTATTGATCGTTGGAAAAATAAATAAATCAACAAAACAGCACCATCTGCTGGCTTTGAAAGGGCACTGCACCACTTGCCCCAATCACAATATGACCACTGAGATACCTACCGCATGTGTGCCATTGGAGGTAAAGCATTTATCTGTCTTTACCTTTTATTCAATGTTTTATAATAAAAATATTTATCACACCCGCTATAGCTGTGATGCTCCCTCCAAAGATGGAAGCAATTCAGACCTCACATATTCACACCTGCAGTATCTTAATGCACGATTTGCACTGGCTGTTGTTTTGGGTTTTTTTGGTGTGCACAGCTGACACTTTAGTAGGGAATGTGTAAAACTGATAAGAACCTCCTTTGCACTCTGAAAACTACACCTAAAAAGTGACTAGCAAATTGATTTGTGTGCTATTCAGTGTAGGCACAAGCTAGGAAGGCATGGAAAGAATTGCTGACACCCTTTGCGTGAACAAGTCACTGAAATAACTTGAAACCGGCAAATGTAATATTTTGTCGCACCGCCTTTTAAGCACAGTCGTTGTAACCGCGAGTTCATCGAAAACTAGTGACTGGCTAGCCTGTATTGATCGTTGGAAAAAAAAAATTCAACAAAACAGCACCATCTGCTGGCTTTGAAAGGGCACTGCACCACTTGCCCCAATCACAATATGACCACTGAGATACCGCATGTGTGCCATTCGAGGTAAAGCATTTATCTGGCTTTACCTTTTATTCAATGTTTCATGTAAAATATTTATCACACCCGCTATAGCTGTGATGCTCCCTCCAAAGATGGAATATTGGCAGGAGGATTTCACAACCCATTCAGCATGGAGTGGCCACTACCTCACATCAATATAATCTTTTGGGGGTTTTTTTCCCCGCAAAAACTCACATTTTTACAACACCGCTGACAGTTTTCTTTATCTGAAACCACAAAGTTGGCATCATTAACATCTTGCTATCGCAGTACAACACGGATTTTTATTCCAGCAGTCTCTCAGCGCCGCATGAAAGAACAGGCAAGGAAGCCAGAACTGCCAGATGTCATTACACTATCATGCGCCACCATAAAACATTTATGAGCTATTAAGAGGGCCTTAACAGAGGATGCAGCTGATTCTTACGAGATGTGAGGGACACGTGGTGAACTTCAACAAATACACACTGCTCAGTTCAACAACTTTTCCAAGAATGTACACATCTGATGCATACAGGATTGTGCATAAGTCTAAGTAGCACGAGCTTTCTCTTATGAGCAACCAAATTGCATTTTATTTGTATGTATGTATGCGCACATATAGGTCATGCTTTTGCTGTATATTGGGTTTTTTTTGGGGGGGGGGTGCCAACTCAATGTTTTTCATAGAAAACATTTATTGGAGGTTTATCCCTGCTTTTTTAGGAAGTTGGGGTAGGGGTTACAAAAAAGTTTTTCAATACATTTATAATAGGCATCACTTATATGCAGATTGTTACGATTCAACGTCCCTGTTCCATGTGAATAGCGGGGGTCCACTCTGCCACAATAATTACTGTCCGGTTTGGAATGAAAAACAAAATTCAGCCTTTGCACGGAACACATACACACATTACTAGTCGATTGTGGTCTGCTGATTATGATGGGCCGGTCTAAGCCAAAAATGCCAGGGACATTTTTCTTTTTGGTGCCAGTCCAGCCCAGCCCAGAACGCTCTGTACAGTATATCAAGTCATTATAGCACCACTAACAACAAATTCAGTGACGATTTAGGATTTTTACACAATACCAGTTAGGTAGTATCTTTGCATCCAGTTAAAATGAGATCACATGAACACAATCCTTTTCAATGTCCTCTCAAGTGCAGGAGGCGATCATGCGTAAACATCACACAGACCTCTTCACTTTATCGCGTCAGTTCAAAGTCAGCTCAGAGGCCAGCAATGATATGGGAGTGCAAGCCTCTTTTTTTTCTGTGGGATTTCTCTGTAAGAAGGTGATTTTGTTCTCTTGGTGTTCATTGCAATACTTTCGGCAATTCCGCCGCTAAGACGAGATCTCATTTCAGCGTTGTGCCTCAGAAAGAGGAGGCTTAGGGGAGATGAGAGGCCTCTGTCGGAGCCCCCGTGCCAGGAAAATGAGGGTTACACAATTACACACAGTTCCGAAAAAAAGCCCTCTCCGTAATTGGATCCATTTTAGGGCCTTTAAAGCCCACCTCTTGGAGATAAAGCAGCCCTAGGTGCAGATTTCATTCTCCACTCTCTGTCTGCAGTGCTTTTTCATTTAGACTGGCCTGAAAAAAAAAAATAAAAAAGACTGCAGTATCACATCTGAAAGGACATCATTTTGAGAACAATTCCACTATTTTTTTTCTCAAGCATGAAAGAGCACCTGTGTGTGTCAAAACCTAACATACCAACAACTGAGATACAGTGTATAACATAAAATCAGCATATGATTAAAAGAAAAGTATGAACAACCGCTTTCTTTAACAAATAAGGATAACAAGGCTCTTTCTCAGGAGCAGTTTTGGTGGTAAGAGTAAACTCACCATGCATCCCTTTTCCCCAATCACCCTCATCCCAGTGACTCTCAGAAGTGCCTAAGGCAGTGGAAAACTAGAAAGAAATATACAACCTATTGAGCATATTCTTGTTTTGGCCTAAGGGGAGGCCTGGGCAACGTATGGCCCATGGGCCACATCTGACCTGACATAGTGGCCCCCCCCCCCCCCCAAAGAAAAAGACTCGCTAAAATGCTAATAGTGGTCCTAAATAGTACGTGTGTGTGTGTGTGTGTGTGTATGTGTGTGTGTGTGTGTGTGTGTGTGTGTGTGTGTGTGTGTGTGTGTGTCTGATCAAACTTGGAGTCTCAACAAAAAAAACTTTCATCTTAGAATTGGCAGTTGGTGCTGAAAATTCAAGAATTCAAGGTATTTTATTCACTTCCACGTGATCCAATTAACTAATATGGCACTAAATACGAGATACCTGAGGTCCCAGGTTTGGCAAGTTGGTCCAGAGACTTGTGGAAAACAAGAGAGATAAAAAGAACAACAAAATACGATAAAAATAATTACAGCAAAAAAAGATAAAAGGAAAGTATGCACATTGTAGACATGCTTTCTATGCAAACGACGACCTCAGAAATATATGACTGATCTTTTTAATTGACGTTGCAAGACTCGAAGTGCAGAAAGATCACCACCGCGCCATATTTACCACCGGACCGCGACTAGTAGGTACAAAAGTGACATCATTGCAAACTCCATGTGGACGGCACTGGCCCAGCTGCAAGTGAAATATCTCCTCTTCATGCAATATTCACTCAGTCATCTTACATTCTCTTTATACTGAGATATGCATCTCTTAACCTGCAGCCACACCCAGGATTCATCTTGACTTCACCCTGTGGTGCGAAGGCCCTGAAACAATATGAAATCGTGGTTGAACAAAAACAACCGTACCCCAAATGACATCAGTCCAGGGCTTAAATGACCATGAGCGAATGTGGCAGTAGCTACATATTTTAACTTGATTTGGATTGTTTTTAAATGTATGTGAATTTGTCAATGCTTTTCAATTAAGCACTTTACTATTTCTCTATATTTATACATTTTCTATCTTCATGTGTTTTCTGTATTTATATTTTTGCAGGCACAACGGTAGACGACTGATTAGCACGTCCGACTCACAGTGCAGAGGGTGTGGGTTTGATTCCGGCTCCAGCCTTCCTGTGTGGAGTTTTCATGTTCTCCCCGTGCCTGCGTGGCTTTTCTCCGGGTACTTTGGTTTCCTCCCCGATTTCCAAAAACATGTACGGCAGGTTAATGGAACACTCTACATTATCCCGGGGTGTGATTGTGAGTGTGAATGGTCGTTCGTCTATGTGTGCCCTGCGATTGGCTGGCAACCAGTTCAGGGTGTACCTCGCCTACTGCCCGAAGACAGCTAGCATAGGCTCCGGCACGCTTGCGACCCTCGTGAGGATAAACAGATTAGAAAATGGATGGCTGGATGGATATTTTTGCAACCTGTAATGGAGTTGTTTCGCCTCAGATTTTCTTTCTAAAAATACATGCGAAAAGGAGTCATTTCCTTGAATTGAAATTGGCTAAAAACCTACACCATACACCACTAACTGTTTCAGTTAGTGGAGGTGATTATATGAAAACATTAGGTGTGCGGTAGCCACAAGTGTTTTTTTCTCATTCATGTTGATCGTGAAATAGCAATTGAAGATTAATGACATTAGCCCAACCATTAAAGCGTGAAAACGTAATAGTAGGGCAAATGGCCTTGAACCAAGTGCATACTTCATTACGCAAAGCCATGTCCAAATGGGATATCTTAAGAGGAGATAATGATGAATCACAAATTACATGGATTTACCACACACTGCAAAGCCTGTTTTGTTTGCCAAATGAACTTATGATTGCTTTCCGACAAAGTGTTAACGCACAGCAACATAAAAGTGAGGTCACATATGTCTATTTGATGTACAGTATGTGCAAAATCTACACTCAAACCAGTGAAAAGCTGCTTTTAAATGGACATGATTCATTCATTATTGAGTGAATAGGAATGTCCGCATAACACTGTCTGGCATCCACGGATACCGACTCTTTCTCTTTTGTCGTCCTAGGTCAATGGGAAACATTTTGAAACTCAAAAGTAGAGTTGAAGTGCTGAACATGGCGGGCGGCACTTTAAGAACAAAGGAGGTCATTTTTCCAACTGTAGTTTTACACGTACAGTCTGTGGAAAATGTTACATGACCAAACCTTTCCGTCGAAAAATCTTCAGTTGACGTACATATCGCTGGCATCGGGCGGAATCTTCGTACCTCCAAAATCATGTTCAACAATTAACATTGCTTCATCAAGGAAAACAAGCCATTTCCAACATCAAGAATCCGCAATAATTGGGAAATACAACACCCAACGTGTGGACTGACCAATCATATATCGATTTTTTTTTTTTTAATGCAATTTTACCAAGTTTGTTCCTTCGGAAGTTTAGAGGGCAGCGATATGGTCCACTGACTACTAGATACAGTCTAAAACGATTAGTTTAATCACATTCATACAATGGGGAAGAAAATTATACAGTGCAGCATAATTTGTGTCGCCGAACCCTGAATATGGATGCAGGAGAGCCATCCGCTGGCAATGGGAGTTGTGTCAACTTAATTGTGTCTGCGTAATTAAAAATTTATTTATTTATAATCAGAATCATGATTACTCTGCTTGTGAAATTGAACCCTTTCGGTCCACACTTAAGGAAATTGTTAGGCCTCAGGAGATCAGCCTCGTTATTATTATTATTTTTAAGTGATCACAGGCCATTCATTTTTTGCCCACATTTTTTTAGGAACAGTATTTTAATGCCACAACTTCCTCAATTCTTAATAGATTGACAACATTTAAATCCCGTTTTGTTCGCTTATTCCAACTCTTCCCAGTGACATTGGTTTTACTGACGAAAGAAAATATTTCATTTTTTTTGTCACGTACTTAACTATGGAATTGTGTATGGAATCTATATCAGCGGTCAGTAAAAAAGGAGGGAGGGAGGGAGAGAGATATATATAGAGAGAAAGAGATGCTCTACAAAAGACAGAGTAATTTTCTCCTGCTTTTGGATTTTTTTTTCATGCCTGCCAGTAACATGCTCAGCGCGAGCGGCATATTTACATAAACAGCCTGTCGAGTTTATTAAAGATGACAAGACCCATACATACGCTATACATCGCACGCCATGTTGTGCGTGAATTCGAGGATGAAATGCCAAAAGCTAACTCGACGTGTCATCGTATAAAACCGACGCTGCTGTTCGTCACAAACAGCACGCCGGCTCAGGTCGACTGAAGGCGGGGAGCACATACGGACACCGTGGAGACTTTGAGGCCCTTCCCGACTCATAATATCACCTCGTCTCAGTAACCCTGACGAAAATGTTACGTTCCAACATTAACCGTGATGGCACAAAGCACTTGAAAGTCAAAGGTAGCGTTTCCCTACCTACACCCGCGACCAGGGTGCTTCTCGACTGTTGCACCTCCGGGCGAGGTGACTGGGGCTACCCATGTCCTCGACAGAAGAGCCGTGCGTACAGTCGGAAGACCACCCGGTCCTCCCCAGAATGGACTCTTCCGGCTGCGAGGACAACCAGTTTTCACCCGGAGCCCGAATTCATTCCAAGTCGTCCGGCTATGACGTGTTGTCGGTCCTGGGTCGCGGCGCCTACGGGAACGTGGTTAAATGTCGGAAGACCACCGACAACAAGACGGTGGCGGTTAAGACCATCAAGAACCACGGAACATCAGCCAAACGGGCCATATATGAGGTGGGTGACATCCATTAACTACCCGTAGTAACGACCTGTCCCGACTTTCGAGATTACGAACGGCGTGATCAGGAAACGAAGGCACACTCAGCACTTTCCTACTACTGTACGCGAAGTGTCAGTAATACACTGGTAATGTACATTTTTAATGTCTGCAGCTTTTTTGTGCTGCATGTACAAAAAAAAGTTTAATAAATCACAAACATACTGTATTCTGTTTGATTATGGAAGTGTTTCTTAAAAATATTTACTATAAAGTGGTGTACATTAAAAAAATAGGTCTGATTCATGCTCTGCCTCACTGGTGGTTCTCAAGAGTACCAGAGGTTGTTTGGCGCTCATCTTTTTTCCCCTGACCCACTGATCTCTCATGCATGGATGGACTTAAAAGACTTAAAAAGCACATCTCGGCAAATTAGGGCCCACGGCCCACATCCAGTCCGTCCACCGTCACTGATGGGCCCTCATGACAGTCTTTATGAAGTCAAAAGTAAAATATAAAGTATGCGCTACTTTTATTTTGCATGTCAACAGCGCAAGCGAACAAGGGCAATGGGTTGTTGTAAGTGTTGCCGATTTAGAGATGTCTCTGTATGTAATTACTGCTCTGACCATTCACGCAAATATTTTAGAAAATATTGGCCAGTGATGGCTTCACACAGGCGCCATTAATTTGCCATGTGCACATAGAGGGTAAACACCTCCTGCTCTGAGGGAGTCTTGAGTCCTCAGCGCTTTTTAATATCAGTGCGGATTCGTAGTGTTTATACTAAATGTTAAGGTACAGATATGTAATATGTAACAAGTGACACTTAATGTCTTTATAGATTCTTGCCCTGTTAAAAATCAAAAAGATGGATGCTGACAAATGCCACCTGGTGCAATGGAACAGCATCTTCAGCATCACCGGACATGTTTGCATTGAATTTGAGCTGTTGGACAAAAGTCTGTACGACTTTGTAAAAGAGCGAAATTTCAGACCTCTCCAGCTGAAGGAGATCAGGCCTGTTGTCCATCAGGTATGCTCACCTAGGGGGAAAAAAATGGCTGGAATTTACTTTTGAAATGAAATTGATCTTGTTGGGCTGACCTTTTAGCTGGCAGACATGCTGGACCACTTGAAGGTCTCGCAGATCATACACGCGGACCTCAAGATGGAGAATGTGATGCTGGTCAACCAAGTGCAGCAACCCTACAAGATTAAGGTGATCGACTTTGGCCTGGCTGCTCAGGTGTCCACCGCCAAACAGGGCTCGCTCATTCAGACACTCCCCTATCGGTGAGTAATCTTCAATCAGCATACGCCGACTCTGATAGTTAATGAGGTAACCAAAGTACTGGAAGCATGTAGTATCGGCTGTCCAGATCTGGTCCTCGAGGGCAATTATCCTACATGTTTTCGAGGATTCCCTCCTCCACCACATCTGATTAAAATCATCAGGATCATTATCAGGCCTCTGTAGAATTGATGATGAGTTCAGGAAAATAGTAATTTTTGCGTAATTACACCATTAAACTGCAATGAAAACAGTTGGTCAAAATAACCTCTTTTCACAATAGATGGCTAATCATCTCTCTCTCTCTCTCTCTCTCTCTCTCTCTCTCTCTCTCTCTCTCTCTCTCTCTCTCCTTCCTCCCCCCCCTGCCCCCTCCGCCTCTCCCTCCCTCCATCTCCCCAGGTCTCCGGAGGTCTTGTTGGGTGCACCATTCACGGAAGCCATAGACATCTGGTCAGTCGGCTGCATTGCTGCATTTTTGTACACGGGCGCTCTGCTCTACCCTGGGAAAAGTGAATACGACATGGTAAGTATAAGTAAGTATACGTTTACCCTACTTTGAAATTGGCTTTGCGATATTACAATACTCATTTCAGCCCTTATTTCCGCGCAGGACAAGAAACTTCGCAAATGTGGTTCACCAATCTCATTATTTAACATCAATTCCGATACAAGTGTAAAAAGAAGTTAACCTCTACAAACATTAAAAAAATAAATAAATACATTTTGAAGAAGTAACTTTTGTAATAAGTTTTTGATGACGCTGGAGTCTGAATGCTTTGAACATGAGTCCACTTGCGTCACATAATTTCCGATGTACAGTACAGTCTATTCTTATGTGGCCCACCCTTGACCGTAATAGGTATAAGTCCTATAGAAAACGGATGGGTGGATGGATGGATCCAAATTCTGAATGGTAAATATTGAACTTGGTGTTGTATTTTCAGGTCAGGTATATTGTGGAGACTCAAGGCCAGCCTCCGGATAATGTTCTTGAAGCTGGACTGCAGACCAGTTGCTTCTTCCAGATGGAGCGCAATTTCAGCTGGAAGCTCAAGGTATGTGCCTCTGATTCTACTTGTTTAAAAAAATACAGTAACGCGGGCTTATCTCGAGCCTCCCTCATCTCTGTAGACACCAGAACAGTATCAGAAAGAGACCACCTCAATACCCAAAGAGGCCAGACGCTTTAAATTCCGCTCTCTTGATCGCCTTCTTCATGTAAGCAGTCACTCTTAACGTCTTAACTTCAAAACCGTGTCAGTGTATGACATGGGCAATTTTATTTAGTTCCAGCCGGGAATCTTGAACACCAGGCACATTGCCAACAAAGCGGCCAAGACAGCGGATGTGCAGAAGTTTGTGGAGCTGCTGAAAGGAATGCTCCAGCTCGATGCCGCCCAGCGGATGACTCCTCGCCAGGTGCTGGAGCACGACTTCAGCACAATGAGCCATCTTGAGCCGCTTCATGACACCAGCTCTCAGTAAGTCAATACCGTGAAGCCTTTTTAAGTCCACAATGCTGTTCCACTTCCAGGTTGTTTGATTAAAAAAAAAAAAAAACACACACAAAAACAAAGGACATTTCCAAGCTCAACCTTCCGTCAGTCATGAAACCAAAACTGGCAATGCTCTTGACCCACTACAATTTTTGTCATGTTCCCAAAGAGTGCTGTTAAAATATTCTGTATTTGTTTCCTCTCAAAATAAGTAATTTGTCTAATTTTACAATTAGCCTTTTTTTCCGCTTGGAAGTCAGAACTGCGCAATTCAGTAATTGTTAAAACCCATGACTTACCATTTTTTTATTTATCTTTTTACAGTAAATATTTGAAGTAATACACATCTGAAGTACTAATTGTAAACTATGTGCAATAGTCATAATTATCCATTATTTGCAGCAAGTGGGACTTCCAAGACCTTTTTTTTTTTACATCTTACATTATCTGATGGCGACACATTTGTAATTTCAGTACTATGCAGTAAAACATTAAAAGGTGGGAAATGTTGCTCTATGTTTTGAAAGGGGAAAAAAATGTCATTTCCTTGTTAGACAAAAAAAAAAAAAAAACACTGCAAGCCAGTATTGTAGTCCAAATAATAACTTGACAAAAACAAGTGCGTATATGTCAAGATGTGTAAGATATTGTGCGGAGCATTAAGCCTCTCATTTGATTTGGTGCTGTCACTCAGGATAGTGGGTTTTGTTGAAGGCCTATTTTGGAATGCAAAAATGCTTAGTGGTTCCGACCAGATAACATCAACAAGGATGCTTCTCAGCTGTGATCGATTCTGTCAAGAGATAGTGAATCCTGACATCAAACATTGAATTTATTTGCACTGAGAAGCACAGTGGATGACTGATTAGCATCCCCGCTTGACAGTTCAAAGGTTGTGGGTTCAAAACTGTGCGCCGGCCTTCCTCTGTGTTGTTCTAAACTTGTCCCTTTGCTTTTTTTTTTTTTTTTTTTTACCGGTACTCTTGATTTCCTCCCACATCCCCAGAGCGTGCATGTTAAGTTAAATGACGACAAGCAAATGAACAAGGCATCTTCACAGATCGCTTCCCTTCGCCACATCCAATGCTATTACAGCGTTGATGTTAATACCCCCCCCTGAGGTCTGGCGACGGGTCTGCTCACAAAGTTTATGCCATAGTGTACTGTGGAGCAACTACAGAGACATAGTGTATGTGATTTTGTCGAATTTGATTTTTTAGGCAGAAAGGGATGGCCTGAGTCCTAAAGTGCTTTTAAAGACAGTACTTTCGTTTATTCACGCAGCCAGTGCAAATAAATGTTGACCTGTCTTACAGTGTGCAGTCGTGCTTTCACATCATGTCGGCGTGCTCCAATAAGACCACGCTACAATCGCTCGGCGGGAAGGGATTCGACCCGTCACCACTGAATGAGCCTCATGATGACGAGCCATGCTGCTGCAGCCCCGCTTCACCAGAAGTGTACGAAATCATGGCCCAAGATGAGCGATCAGACCCAAGTTGACCGAAAGGGTAGGGGACAAACAGGAGATGTCCACTCGATGGAATGGAGGGACTATGTGCTTTTTTTTCATCCCTCTACATTACAATTACAAACACACCCAATGAACCGTGTTGGAGCTAACCTGTACGATGTTTACACTCAACAGTCATGTAAGAAGGTAACGGCCAACAAATCCAAGACTCCGCTACCCGACTGAGCTCGCCCGGCACCATTGCTTGAAATTAACAAAAATGCTCCCAAATTTTGAATTTTGGAGGAAGTGCTTGATCTTCCTTACACACCAAACAACTTTCTGTCTGAGCAGTTAGCCTGTTAGATGGAGAGATCGAATGTGCTGACACCTGTACATAAAAACTAACAGAAGATGTCCGTCCATCTTTTTGTTCATCAGCAGTCTACTTTGGTGTTTGTGAGGGATAACAGGACCGCCGTTGCCATCATAATTTTGGGAGGGTGGACGGTTATATTGATGCGACGATAATTGGTGAAAATTACTGTCCTGTTGTTTACTGTTCTACTACGGCAAGCAAAATGAGCGCTCATGAAGTCTGCGGCCTAACACTACAGAGCACACATCCGCGCAGTAGTGGTTTATCACCGCTAATACAAAGTAAATGTTAGGTGCCCTCTAGCCCACTGGTAAGTGCACTCTTGCCCATCTGATAGCTAATAACAGACCCATTAAAGGGACCGATAACGTTCGCAGCTGTGTCCTCATCTTCATTCCACCTCGCCCGGCCATTTTTCCCGCCTCACCTCAGCCTCCCCCCCGCCGCCTAGCCCTTTAATCCTCCAATAAAACCTTCACTCGCGTCTGCCGTTGGCTCTAGGAAATGAACAATCCCCCAAACAAATTTCTTGATGAATGTAGTGTTTCATCACTTTGGTGCCCATGCGTCTGATTTGTGTGCAAGGAGACTTGGTGGTGCCGGTGCTCTGGAGGCTTAGCAGATGAATAGTCCGTGCCTGGGAGCTGCTTAGTGCACGGCACACATGGGACTAGCTGGCTGCGTTGCAATGCGACAGCTGGTTTGACTACAACTGGTGATACATTATGCAAATGAGAGGAATATTCTTCATCTTGGATTGTTGTCGTTGATCACACACTCATTCAGAACCTGCGGCAAATAGATGGAAGTAGATACAGGCAGTGACGTGCGGAAAGTTGTCGATGGATGAATTTCTCCAGTTTGTCAAGTCTGTCGAGCAGTCTGGCCACCCATTTGTTTCTGCTGCCATCTTTGTCCATCTGTCGGTCAAACTGTCCTACTAGACCATCCCTCATATTCATTGTCAGTCGGTTCATGTTTAGCGGGCAGTCTGTTCGTCCGGCCGTCTGTCCATCTGTCTGTTGGTCTCGAAGTTGATCAATCCATGGTTGTACCTGTCCGTCCCGGCCAGGAAGATGCCTAGCCAACCATCCAATTATTGGTCCCCTTTCTCTCTGTGGCAGTCAGTCTTTCTCCGTCTGACCTTCAAGTTTTGTCGACCATTCTATCATGTCGTCGTGTTTTCTGATTGTCCATCAGTCTTTTGGTTGGCCTCTGCCCGTCTGTTCAAAAGTCCGTCCAGGCATCTGTATGGCAAGCGGTCCAACAATCTGGTCAAATCAGTGTGTCCCAGTGCATGTCCATCTGTGTTGGACAGTCCATTCAACCATTAGTTGGTCCATTCCTCTGTCATCCATTCGTCAACCAGTCAACGTGTCCATTCTGATGCCCGCTGAATCGGTCCATTCATCTGTTAATCGGTTTGTCATCTGTCAGTTAGTCATTTGGTCTGTGCATCTCTTTGTTAACTCAGTCCATCTGTCAGATGGACAGGTGCTTGGTTCTGTCTTGTCCGCCCGTCAGCCTCCTGTTGGTCAATGTGTCAGACCGTCCATATTTCAGTTGCTCGTATCTGTCCGTTCGTTTACATATCTAGATGAGTTAGGTTGTCAACTTTTGCCTCTTAATTTGAGCAGCTTTAATATCGAAAAGTAAACACATAATCAGGCACTATACATCTTGAATTACATTCGTTTAAACTGTCACAGAATCATGAATGGCCTCATAACTGCTAGAGTGCACGATATTGCCAACTAAATAATATGCAAAATCAAAGAAAAAATAAATACAGGTACATGTCAATACAACTGAGCAGATGTCATTTCCAATACCAGTATCTGGAATAAATGTTGAATCGTCTTTACTCGTTTATTGTTGAAGCGCATATGGAAACATTTGTTTTTTTATTTTGTTTTTAATCTAATCCACAGGGAACGCAATGTTAAAGACAGTGGCGTTACCCCAAAATCAACATTTACACTTCAAAACAACCTCATCTTTTGCAATTTGCATACAATAGCAAAGAAGAAAAAAACGTGCATCGATGTCAAGTAGAAGCCTTCATTCCATGTTCTCGTCTGCAGGGAAGCTGAGGTCGGTGCACCTGAGACGCTCAAAGCAAAGCAGTGAGGGTGGAAGAGGGCGGTTAGGTGTAAACAAATGGTGGCTGCCCCAGGGAGAGATACCAATACTTTTATGAAGTGAGCGGAAAGGGCCTCAAAACAGTCTCAAATTATTATTCAGGGGTTATCTTTTATACACAAGCTGAGTAAAAGAAACAGTTTGGATAAACAGGACGTGTCTCAAAAAGAGGCTTATGCTTTTATGTAAAGGGATTTTAAAAGTTTCATACAAATGCAGGGAATGACTTTGGTTACCATGACGATCAGGGGCAGAGGTAGGGCATGCGGCGCCTTAGGTGACTTAATGGCAACAAAGCAAAACCGCTTTTTGAAGTATTAGAAGAACTTTTTGTGGTATTAAACTTCGGGAGAATCCCAACATCCAGACTGCAAAAGAATACTGCTTCTGTAGTGTTCCAACTGGCTAATTTAACCTCCATCCGTGCTTTGGCTCAACCCTGAGCAGAAATAACTCATTGTGGGGGGCAGTCTTATGTAAATCAGCCCAACTCTTACATAACCGTGAGGCAGAAGGGCAGAATGGCGCGCTCACACACATTTTCATAAATGGGCAGAAGAACAAATGACTTCTAATTTCACACATGATGGGTGGCACTGGGCAGACACTTAACCGTTTGTATACAAGCAATTAGAAAAACAATATTCCATATGCTCCCTTTAAAGTACCTCTGTCAAATTTGGGATGTCACAGAAAAAGCGAAGGGTTCTTGACAGCTTGACAGAGTCAATCAAAATCAGTAGAATTGTTTTCACAAAGGGGAAAATCATTTGGTTTGTTGTTCAGGTCAATAATGAACCGATACAGAAGACTCTTCAGAACCTCAGTCTACTTTGACGGGATGCCACTCAAACTCAGTAGGTTTCTTTTAACTGTCATTGCGCTCACACTTATGCTGAGTATAATGCACATGCCCTCGGTAGGACACGTTCAACATGTCTTCATTTATAAAAGCATCCTGAAAGACACTAGGTACCACCCCGGTATTGGTTTTCCTCGCACTCATCATTGTAAAACTCCCACCTTCTCTGCCGCCGGTCCTATTAGGATGGCAAGGGAAGAGGGATGGTTAGGGCGTGAAGACTGGAGAGGAGACCAATAATGGCAATGTCCTCTTTTTTGTAAGAGCTGGAACCATGACATTCTTTCCCTAGATTGAGCCAAATGTTCCTGGAATGAAAAGCTAGCGTCTCTACAACACATAGTTGTTTTTGTGTTATCCATCCTTGCATCCATCCAGGGTTCACCCTGAATTGGTTGCCAGCCAATAGCAGGGCATACATAGATGAACAGCCCTTCGCGCTCACACTCACACCGTGGGACGATTTAGAGTGTTCCATTAACCTCCCGTGCATGTTATTTTTTGGAATGTGGGAGGAAACCCAGAGAAATCACGCAGGCACGGGGAGAACATGCAGACTCCACAGAGGAAGGCCGGAGCTGGAATCGAACCTTGCACCTCTGCACTGTGAGGCCGGCGTGCTAAGCAGTCGCCCACCGCGCCACCTGTTTGTTTTAATTTGAAATTCTCCCAATTAGTCATCTTTGATCACTAAACCAGCAACTCATTTGGTTCTCAGCACGCCATACTAATTACCGCGCATTATAAATAGAATGCCTTTGTACGAGTGATTAATTGGCTTCTATGTTGCAACTTAGAAAGAAACAATATGCTGCTCCAGCCACAAACGCAGGGACCATTCCAAACCAAATGAAACACGAGAGAAAGCGCATCAAAGATTCTTTTGAGTTATTCTGAGGGGTTTTTGTGTGGGCTTTTTCAATTTCATTGGAAATTGGGACAGTTATGAACAATGGTGATGAATGAAAACGCAGTCTTTACATATGACCGTATATGTCCAATTTGGGGGCCGACAATACATGGATTGGTTCAGTTAGTCCAAGCAAGAGTGCTGCCCAACTCGAAATGTTCTAGCCGTCAGCCTACTTCATCCTACTTGCACAGTCGACGAATGTTGAATTCCAGTGCCTTTATTGTCTGATTGATTGCCACTTTTATCCGGTGGCTGCCGGCTAGTTATTAGCGACTAAACTGCGACTGTTTACGTGGGCAGGCTGTGCAAACTGCTCGCATTTTCATGCTTTCCATTTGACCACTTGGGTGCTGCTTGTTCAAATGATTCAACGGGTTTCTTGTATTGTCTTGTTTTTTGCACAACCGTTTCTTCCACGTTGGGGAGGAACTTCTCATCAAAATTGCTTTGTCTTTGGAAGTCACGGCTGCCCATCAATTGCTCGTTTAGCTGTATGTTGGTTACTATTTCTCTTCACTGCTTCTTCTTTCATGGATTGGCAAATTCTGTTTCTTTCAACTCGCAAGCAAATGTTAGAAGCTGGACTCCGATTGGCTAGAGTCACGCAAAGTAGAGCCACATAATATCACAATTCAAAATCATAATCACCCGGCCCTATTTTTGTTACCCTTTGGAAGGTCATCGATGGGGTGGGGTGCTGACTGTCACTCAACAACAACAGACACAGTATTGTTTAAAATCTGTCCCATCTGTGCATGTCATGGGGGCCAAGTTCATGAAAGTGACGACCCTGCCTTAGCCATTAGCCTTTCGCTACTTAGGTACAATGCAATGAGGCTTGATTGTGGGGTGACCAGAAGCACTCACAAAACCATTTAGGTTTTAGAATTGCCATTAATTCAGTCTGCCTGTATTGTTCTGTTACACACTGATTTGTATTTCTCTGAAGTTACCCGAATGTAGAAACTCCACTATCCTATTATGTTAATGCACAATATTAAAAATAGATGGATTCATGAATCATTTGTCATTTGAACTGTACTATCCTAATGCTCAAAACTAGAGACTATACTTGTAATAATGACTATGATTTGACCGTCTTGGTGGTTATATGCAAAC